GGTTGGCTGCTGGGTGGTGATAGCTGAAGTGGGGTGACATGGCATTACTCTGGCTGCTTTTGTATGCGCTTAGCATTTCCGTAATCAAAAGCTAAATAATTGATGCCAACAGGATAAGTCAGAGTTTCCGGCACATGGGCTTTCCCTCCTTCACCTATCTGGCGACAGTCACATTTCCTTCCTCCTCCCTAACTGTGTTCTCTCATTTCTTCCCTTTAGTTCTCTAACTGCCCTCCTCTTCACTCTCCTCCTCCTGCTCCTTCTCTATCTTCTTCTTGTCGGTGTCTCAGTCCTGTCACCAGACTGGAGTGCAGTGGCACCCTCACGGCCACTGCCGCCTCGACCTGCTGAGCTCAGGCTCTCCTCCCACCTCATCCTCCCCAGGAGCTGGAATCGCAGGCCTGCGCCACCACGCCCAACTTAATTTTTTATTTACTGTAGAGACGAGATCTCACCAAGTTTCCCAGGTTGTTCTTGAACCCTTGGGCTCAGGTAGTCCTCTCACGGCCTCTCAAAGTGCTGGGATTACAGGCATGAGTCACCACACCCAACTAATTCTTCATTTTTATTAAAATTGCTCAGGGTTTTTGGCTTTAATCTCTTGCTAATACACACACACACATGTATGTATATAGCAAGGTATATACATATATCTTCTCATATATATATATATCACATATATATATGAGAAATTTGTCTCCAGTATCCATAGTTCCCCCCGGGAAATGCAACTACGAAAATCTAAGAACATTTAGCCTGAAGATAGGCCAAACTGCCACCCTTTTCTCCCCTGAGGTGGCGGTGTGCTGGTAAATGGGCAATGCGTAGCAGCCATGTCTGGTGGGGAAGCCACGGTGTGTAGCATCCGCAGCTTCCCGTGGTGTAAACCCTCCCCCTGTGGCCATCCAGCTGCCAACGCTAAACTGGCTCATGAAATTCCTGTTAACTGTTGTCTCTCAGGAGCTAAGACAAGCTCAAGAGAGCACTTCACTGCATAAGGGTAATAATAATAAACTCAGTTGGTGGTTTGACCGGTTTTTTTTTTTTTTTCCAAAACGGAAATGGTTTATTCAATTAATAAATTCTATCTTTAGGACCTATGTATATTCAAGGTTTTTAAAGTCATCTACAGCCAGGTGCAGGGGCTCACGCCTGTAATCCCAGCACTTTAGGAGGCGGAGGCAAGAGGATTCCCTGAGTCGACGAGTTTGAGACCAGCCTGGGCAACTTGGTGAGACCTCACCTTACAATAAATAAAAAAACTAGCCAGGCATGATGGTGTGTGCCTATGGTTCCAGCTACCTGGAAGGCTGAGGTGGAAGGATCGCCTGAGCCCAGCAAGTCCAGGCTGTGGTGGCAGTGAGTGAGTATGCCACTGCACTCCAGCCTGGGTGACAGAATAAGACTCCTACTCAAAAAAAAAAAAAAAAAAAAACCAAAAAAACCCAAAAAA